ACCCTTTCAAGCCTCCGAAAATCACCCTGGCCACCAAGATTTACCATCCTAATATTGATGATAAAGGACAGGTTTGTGCTCATTCGAATCCTTCTGTTGTTTTGATTCAAAGTGTACAGTTGAAGTATTGATCCAACTGAATCTGCTATTTTCGTAACTTCCAGGTTTGTCTTCCCATTGTAGACCCTAATAACTGGAAGCCAGCGACACGAACTGAACAAGGTTAGCATTCTTCTCCATTTACTTGGCATTGGAATAACAAAACATCCACAGCATCTTAGTATATGCGACTTTTCTTGACGAGGGTTTTCGTAGCTTTTGAAGCTTACTTCTTTCCGTAAGTATTAGGTCGGGAGTCTTCTTTAATCCTTCAAGTTACCGCACTTCATGCAATCAACTGCAACCAAATAATGCATCCTAATGATACCCACTGGGAATCTCCGGAAAAAACTGACTGAGGGAAACTGAGAAAATGGAATTGAGAAGAAGGGTCAGGTGAATTGTGAGACCGATATTGTATTTCCCTATTTGGCTTCTCACCGACAAGCCCATTTCCTCCTAGCTCTAGTTAGCATCGATACAATATGCTCAGTTGCTATTTCTGATTTTATGTAGCTGTTGTAATCCGTGGTCAAGAAACGCGCTAACGCTGACTAAGATATCCTGAGAACCACCACAGTAAATAACATATTCAAACGTTTGCATTTCTATTCATTGACTACTTTTGGAGAGAATGAAAGCATCCTATATTGGAAGTTTTCCTATTCTATTATGAATGATTGACAAGAGTTTTTTCCGGACCTCGACGCACCCGAAATACTGTTCCATGTCTTTATATCCCTCTGCCAGGCCTATGAATACTCAAGGTTCCGGACTAAGCTCTTGCTGTATTGTGATTACGTCAATTCTTTATTTACTTTTTTACTGACGTATGTACGGTCCGAATTCCCAATGTGAGGAGAAGAGACAAAAGTATCAGTCCCTGTGGCCATACGAAAACAAGTCCGCGTTCGAGTTTAGAGCGATGTTGGAAGCTGGCCCATCGCTACAACTGTACAGCTAGAGAAGCAACAATACATAAGATAGTGCCAACACAAAGAAGCTGAAAGAAGAGCGGCATTCGGCTAGATTCTTAACACCAAGCAATTTTCTGCCATTGGCTAATTCGCCTTTTTTGCGACGCATTGGCTTTCCATGTCTGCACTTTTGTTGTCTTTCTCTATCTCTTTTATGGGGATACGGCTCGCATTTTGAGCTTAAAACCATCGTTTTACCGTGATGGCGGGTGCCGGCCAACGGGCATCGGTCATCCACGGTGTGATAAAGCAAACAAGTGGCCCTTCGTGTGTAGAGTTATCAGTACTTTCAACTGTAAAAGCTTCAGTACTGTTCAGAATTGTTTTTGCCATTGCTACGCATTCGTACTATTAATGCTAGCTGCTTAGATCATCAGTTCAAGTGCTGCAATGACAACAAAGAGTAGGGCCATAAAAGTGCAATTCAGTTCTCTCTTACCTAAATTTGAGAAAGACATTCTATTGCGCAACGCGTTCTCCTGCTGCTGTCTTCTGTCAGAGAAAGTTACGCCTAGTTTCTGCGTTGAGGAAAATCCCTCATCTATTGGGAGTGATCGTGAATTTTAACATATTTGCAGAATTATTTGTGGACTCATCATTTTAATTCACTAAATGTTTCAGTGATGATGGCGCTGCTAGCATTGATCCAAGAACCCGAACCTGACCATCCACTCCGAGCCGACCTCGCCGAAGAATTTAGCAAAGATCGTAAGAAATTCAACAAGACCGCGGAGGAGTTCACTAAGAAACACGCGGAAAAGCGACCCGAATGAATCTGTGGGACGCCATTGTCATTCCGGTTGATTCCACCTGCCTTGATTTGACCATCGCAATTCAACTCCTTCGGAGCACCACCACCATTTTGGTCTCCTTTGCCATTGTATCATGTTCATTGAATTGAAGAGCTAACCATCAGGCTTGTACGAATTGCTTGCATCACTTGAGGTGTTGTGTTATCGGTATTTTCATCTATTCTGAATTTTCGTCGATCATCGGTTTATCCACCAAATTACTGCTGGGCTGTATCAAATGTGAGCGTGTGTTTTTAGATCAATTGCAAAACAAATTATGGGCTGTGTACCCAAGCAGTGCACATAGACCGGGTTTTTCTGGTCATTTCATCTTACTGTTCACGTGGCTTCAAAATAAATCTAGATAAAGCTGTCCTCGATGTTGGTTGCAGTGTTGGCGAACGCCATTATTTATCGCACGAGTCATCGGTCGTCAGTTTCGGTTTGAAGCCAGTTTTGGCCTCATTTGTTCCATGATTTTTTTTCGGTTTGTTTCATTATTGTGATTGCTAAATCGATATGCTCGTGCAATTTCACGGCAACGTGGCACTGCAGTGTCATCGTGTTATCTGCGTTCGTGCTGCCTTTAGCTGATTAAATTTCCCAAAAAAAGTTTTGTTCAAGGTATTCGGGCCTTCTATGCCTCATAGATGCTTTGTATTTCCCTCATCCAAATGAAGTAACACTTTGACTGTGCTCCTTTATCTAGGAAATGCAAGGGGACCAATCGAAGGAGATGGTCGTTCTCGTCACTGGAGGCACAGGATTAGTCGGCAAAGGAATTGAACAGGTCGATTTTTCCATAACTATTCTTAGCAGAAGTTTTGAAAGTATCTACGCGTCTGCGGACCTCTACGAGTATGCTCACACAAGTGATTCTTTAGATTCTCGAAAGTTTCTTTCATTAGAATCCATTAGAGAAACGGATTGTTCGTTTTAAGACCTAGAGCATGTAATTCAATGGGCCGCTGTGTAAGTTCTATAAACAATAGAACAACAAAAACAACAACTGGACAGGGATAGTTGAGGTTTACGAGTATGTGTCACAGTTGTTTCTGGGTGTAACAAGCTAGATCAGTGTTGTAAGAAATTGCAGGAAAATTTCTTCACGAATAGGAAGTGTGAGGCAGTACGTGACGGCTGCTGAAGGCTTCTAACCGAAAGTATTAGAGTCACAAAAGGAATCGGAATCGGTCACTAGAATCGACATGGAGAACGGTCGCCTAAACTTGCATTAGTAGCCGAGTGGTGAACGCCCAAGAACGATAGATCGAATTGGACTACGAATATTGTATCTTACTTAAAAGGTTGCTGGTGTAGTGAGTTATCAGTCAGGTAGGTCGCTGAATTCAACACAAAGGAGAGGGGTTCTGGACCTTAAATATGATCTAGGAGGTCGTTAGATCTCGCATAGTGGGCCTTTAAAGAGTTTTTCGGAGCATGGACGAGGGAGCGAAAAGGTTACTGGTTCAGTTGTAGTCCGCGTCCGGGCAAGCTGCATTACCTTCTTCGCAGGCGGAAACTCGAAAAATGATTTATAGCCGTGAAGGAAGACAAACGAAATCTCACGTGAAGGATACAAAGCCGGAGTCGTGCGATTTTTGAACAGGGCTCTGTCCAAGAAAGCACTGCCATGAATATTCATGAGGAATGGTGGGAATGCGGTTGGTATTTCCGATTCGTTAAATGTTATTGTAAAGAAATGGTGCTGCATGCGTAGAGAGGCAGTATTAAGTCTTGATCATCAAAAAAAGGTGATGTAGCGTGCCCAATACAGTGAAGTGTAGTTGACCACCCATATCGTGGAGATAAACGGCCCCTTATTCAAGTTGGAGGTGAGGAAACCGGTGTTGATCTTAGAATAGCTTCATGCTTAGAAGTTACTAAATTGCTGCTATCGTCTCAGGCGCGCAGCAGGTAGTAAATTAGTCAAAATAGGTTAGATTGCAATCACGCCGATAGGGCAGAAAGAATATTGGATGCCTTGTACTTACCCATCGTGCAAAACAGGCCAGGAATGCGCGCATCACGAGGGTTTTTGAATCGTCTTAATCCCATAAAATTGGTTGTTTTTGCAATGAAACGGCCGATGGCCTTACTTGTCGGGTACCATTGTTCGAGTATACTGCCGGTCGATGAAATGAATACCCTCTTGAGGCGATCACTTCATGATTATAGGTGGTGAATGCTGAGAAGCGGCCGAACGAAAAATGGGTGTTCATCAGCAGCAAAGATTGCGATCTTTCGAATCTCCAGGCCACCAGGTCCTCTACCTAATGTCGGGAAATTTGTGACTGGTCTAGATCATCATGATTTCATATAATTTAGGAGGTTATTCGAGGATGTGAGACCGACTCATGTGATCCATTTGGCGGCTATGGTTGGAGGGCTCTTCCATAATCTTGCCCACAATTTGGAGTTTTTCAGGAAGAACATGGTCAGTTTTAAAGATAATATTTCAGTGAAGCTTTTTCAAATTCATAGATCCGATGGAGCTTACCTTATTTTTCCGGCTTTCTGTTTTTTGACCCAACCCACATCAGAGGGAGCAGTTTTCGTGAACCTTAATTACTAAATCATGACATTGTCTGAGCTGTCGGCTGAAGCTTCTCGTGCAATAAGTGTAAAAATATCTTCATGAGCAGTAGCGATCCTTCAGTTAAAGCTAAAAAAGCAAGAAATCTAATCTGATTGATGAAACGATCGAGACTATGTTGCAATAAAAAATGGTTTAGTTCACAAAAAGGGGGCTTCAAACCGATAGGACATTATTGTTAGATGTCGCTAAGGAGGCGTAAAAGATGTGAGGCATTCCGGGCCTCACATTCATTATATTGAATGGAGGTTTTATACTGAGTGTATCATGAATTGCTAACTATATGACGTTTATTATCCAACAAAATATAGCCTTGAAGTGAAAAGGGCATGAAATGTGATTTTATGTGATTGCTTGTTGATTGTTCATAGTGACCCCAACCCGCATTATTCCAGGATTCGAGGGGTTTCTGAACTGGTATCAATCTTTAGTCAATCATTCGGATACTTGATTCAATTTGAACATTCTCTGAGGTGATTCTATTTCGATCGGGGTTGGATTTTTCAGGCTATAAACGACAATGTACTTGCGATGTGTCACGAGTTTAATGTCGTCAAATGTGTCTCATGTTTATCTACATGTATTTTTCCCGACGCTACGACCTACCCAATTGATGAAACAATGGTCAGTGAAGCGTATAAGTTCACAATTTTTTTCTCACTTCGTCATGAATACATTGTTGTTGACTGAAGAAGGTAGTAGGTGACCAGTAACGAGCGAAACGAACAACTTAGGATACGAAAATTCAAGAGAGAAACTATTCGTTCCCTAGTCACTTCCACGCGCGTCAAATCAGTACTTTACAAACCGATCCGAGTTCTGAGAACCTTTCAATTACTGAAAATGAAAACTGGTAACTGGAAGTCGTGGTCGATATTGTTTCTGTCACATTGAAGTGTGGAATTCCAGGTTCACTTGGGTCCACCTCATGATTCCAACTTTGGATACTCTTATGCTAAACGTATGATCGACGTGCTGAACCGTGGATATGCACAGGATTACGGTAGAAAGTATGTTGCTGGACTTTTTGAAAGTCTGGCTTACTAACCATTAATTTTAGGTATACATCGGTCATTCCATGCAATGTATTCGGACCGCATGATAATTATAACCTGCAATCGGGACATGTTTTACCCGCTCTGATTCATAAGACCTATGTGGCGAAAAAAGAAGGGAAACCTCTCGAGGTGGGACTCAGCTAGATTCGATATTTGCCTTTAACTGCAACTGCTCCCAATTGAGGTCTTCGGAACGGGTAAACCACTTCGTCAGTTCATCTATTCGCTTGATTTGGCTCGACTATTTGTTTGGGTTTTGAGAAACTATGAGGTAAATTTCCGAATTCGCGCTCGGCACATTTTCCAAAATTGTGTATTGATCAGGAAGTGGACCCGATTATTCTTTCTGTCTCTGAGGAAGATGAGGTATCGATTGCCGATGCTGTTAAAGCTATAGTGAAAGCGTTCGATTTCAAGGTAGTATTGTATTTTAGTAAAAAATTTTACTGCAAAGAAACAACAATTTTGAAGGGTGAGGTGAAGTTTGACACGACCAAAGCCGATGGCCAGTTCAAGAAGACAGCGTCAAATGCAAAACTGAAAAAATATTTGCCTGATTTCCGTTTTACTCCCTTCGAAGAAGCTATCAAAGCCTCCGTGGATTGGTTCGTCCAGAACCATGACTCAGCTCGGCTTTGAGCCGTTCACTCTCTTGATTGCCTATATTGGTGTGTGATAATGTGGGGGGAGATATTTACTGTGAAGTCATTTCTCTAACTGTGATAGCTGTATTCTTTCATATTGCTCCATTTTTATCCATTTGAACAAATTTGCCTGCAATATAAAGTTTGCTGAACAAGACGTTGCTTTCATACGCAAGAGTATGCGACAGTGGCTTATATGTATGTATTGATGCTATCAGTTTGGATCGCTTTTTGAAAGCGACGCCTTTATTTTCTACTGGAAGGTCGAGTACCACACACCATTTACTAGGTCTCTGAAAGTCGTGGTCATGTTTCTAGTTTAATACTAAGAGGGGAGCCTCCAGACTTAAAGGGCAGTCGTTATTTCATCTCATCAGGGTCCGTAAGGTATGCTCCCCCAAACAGGGTAGGGTTCCCTTCCCGGTAAGGGGTGCTCTCGGAAGAGCAGAGAGATAATTGCTTTTGGGAAGAGCAGAGAGAGGACCCGAATCGGGACGTCCCAGCCCTGAACAAGAGAGCATACCTTACGGCCCCAGGAGCCTGTCAGTGAATCAGTGAATAGAGAGCTATTCTACCCGATGTCATGAGAACGGTCAATTGTGTGTCCGTCAACTCGACATCAATCTTTTGCACGTATCGGATAATTTCAGATGTCATGGTATTGTCCTTTGTCATCCGTATCGTTGACAAGGACTTCTAGATAGCTACACAAGCCGCAAAGCCCACACAAGGTTGAAAAGGTCAATAAAAAGGCGTAGATTTGTGTTTTCAGATTGCAATTTTATTTTCCCCTATTAGATACATATCGACTTGGGTGTAACAGTTTTCTCAACCTTCAAGGGTAATTTTATGCTATCGCCTATTCACCCATACCTCAAAAAAAAACATGGGTAAAAGTGACTGATGACCCAGCGAGAGTAAAGGTAGTCATGCTACAGTTTTATTTTGTGTTGTTAAAAAATGTTGGTAAATAATAAGCGGATTTCTGACATAAACATGAACAAAATGCGAAAGTATGAATTACCAAATAAACTACATAATCGCTCTTGGGTGCAGTGTGAGCCCTCATGAGCTTACAACCGTGACATCCACATCATGCTAAGGGGCTAAGGGGTAAGGGGGTGCTAAGGGAACAAATCGAGAGTGACTCGCAGCTACATAAAGAACTGGCTGCTGCAGATGAATTCATTTTTGTTTTAAGCGTCTATGTTGAGTGTAAGTGCGTAAGGGATCGAATGAGTGTAAAACTCGACTACGTTCCTCAAAGATCCCTAATACTGCAAGAGACCTCACGCGAAGATCCAGATCCCCAAATTGATCAGGAGCAGGATCTCATTCACGTCGAGGCAACCCAAAATATCGAAAATAAACATCTACAAGGCACGTCTAGTGCAACTACCATTGAAATGACTAACGATAACGCTAGACCTCATCGCTCAATAAAGCCTCCCCAAGCAACGCT